TTGTTAATAAGTTTTTGTTCAGATTTTAATTAGCTAACCGGAAACACAGCTAAGCTTTCTCTAAGCGCTTGCTGGAGATCGTCCACGAACTTAAGCCGTATTGTGAACGACTTTACTACAAAGCGAAGATTAGATTTTGCACGCACAGAGAGCAGAAAGCTACGTAGGCGAAAGCGCCAGTTGCTCGACATACCTGCGTGGCCCGTGCGACGAAATAACTTCACGGGATTGGCAAAGTTTCAGTCACAGCAAATTATGCAAAAAATCTAGAAAGATTTAAGCTTAAATCTCGTTTAACGTCTAAAGCGACATATCAATGACTGCAACCATCGTGTTGTATACAAACCTGGCAAACTTTAAAACACGTTCTCTACTACTAGTGATACCTGCGAAAGTATTCTGTATAATTTCCGGTAAGATTTTCGCGGACGATCTGATCGATTACTCGTACATTGTGTGCTGAGACTGAAAATTTTCATCTCAAGCAAATCTCCGTCGCACGGTTCAAACAAACATAGGGAGCACCTGAGCTTCTAGTATATGTCCGTGTTAAAACACACGAAAGGACTCTAAAACACACTTCACTCTGATTGGGCAGAAAAACACAAAGATTTTCTGGCACCAATCAGATGGCAGAACGACTGCGACCGTTTGGAACTAGTCTTGTAAGACAATGTCCCCAGGGGCTCTTCATGTCCTAGCTTGAAATCGACCCACAGCCCCAGGGTCTCCGAGGATGGCCAGACCTCAGACCAATTCTTAAGGTGATATAAGTCGGACTGGAGAATATTTGTCTCTAGCTATGTCGAAGATCTCTCTGTAAACCTTGGTATCATCGGCAAACAGTTTAACCGTTAATGAAATTCCTGATGAGATGTCATTTACATATAAAATGAATAAGACGGGACCAAGGATAGTTCCCTGGGGTACTCCTCATAAAACTGGAGACCAGGACGAGCAAGTGCCTCGCTAGTTGAACGCATTTCAAAAGAGTTAGTAGGATATGTAGTCTTGTTGGATTTTGATGAAAGTTGGGCACCAATATTCGTCAGCTTTTAACGCACAAAATATCGTCAAGCTTTTACGAAATTCGAAATAATTTTTCTGTGACTATTTTTCGGCCCGTGGCAACAACCGATATACTTTCGATTGTACAACTTCAGTATCGTCTTTAAAGGCCGAAGAAGAAACAAAATTGTTAAACTTTTGTTGCCTTCAGAATCCCTACTTTACGACTTCTTTTAAAGTAGCGCGCGTATGTTGTTTTTACCTTAAACAGTTTTCTTCTGGGGGGAGAGAGGGGATGGTTAGAGGTTTTTTTCTCCTTCGACGAGGGAAAAAATTATATGGTGTCATGTATTTACAAAGTGCAGCGCGGCAGCTAAATGATGGTGCTATTTGAGAACTTGATAACCACTTAAGCCTTTAAAACTCAGAGGTGATAGACATGCGACCTCACCCTATAATATCCAGACATTGTCTAGGAAACAGGTTATGTTATATCGTTTTGCTCACCTGATAGATTAGAGACGTCAAAATGCAGTTTTTCTTGTGCTGAAGTAACTTGAACTATTTCCATAACTGAAAATACCATGAAACGCATTTCTTATATCGATGTTAAAACAGCTTTATGTCACTTCGTACAGAGAAACAGCTCTGTTTTTGATCTAATTAACCTGATAAAATATTTTCGTCATTAAAAATGATCCTTTTTAATAGTCAGTCTGTATATAATACTAAGACCCCTTTTTACACCGACATCTCTAACACAAGGTGCTCCGATACAGTACTTGAGTATTTTAGTTATTGTCCCAGGAAACAAGATATGTTGGTTCAACACCCAAAAAGCGCGTAAGTCATTCGCCTTCAGCTCGAAATCCACAAACTTTCCTCGCTATCTTCTACGTTGAGGTTTAAGAATGATAAACCAATATCTAGTGCGTCAAAATTCCTTTACGTCAGAGTCAAATGGATAGATACCTGTCGAATTAACATCATCTGAATCCTTTATTTCTTCAATCAAAGAAACTTGACTTTTCTTATCGTCTAAAAAATGGTACTAAAGGACATTAATTTTAACTCATGGATACACTCAGCGTGATAAAAAGTGTGATGGTAGAGTAGAAATGCGCATTTTTGCAGTCACTCAATTGGGCGTCAGCATTGATGCATCAACGGCTGCTTCTTGACCTTTCTAAATGATGCTATAATGCAACCTTGATCGTTAAAAGAGACTTTGGTCGATCTCCCAACCTTATACCAGGAGCTCAAGATTCCAATTGGCTGCTTAGTGAACCAGTAACATATTTAGCCCTTTGCTTTTCGTCAGCGTCGCGATATTCATGGCGCAAAGAATGCTGGTTTTTAAATAAAAATTTGGATAATGCACACAAACACCTCGGTATTACAATTCGACAGAAATCTTGCAACCTATCTTCGAGGCAAATCATCAGCTATCGTACGAGTAGTTACCAGTGGTTTGTGTACCGATTGATTTGCCATCATCTAAATCTTTTCTTTCCTCAACTGTTGAAACATGACTCTTTTCCATTTCTTAGAAAAAAGAAAAAAGAAAAAAAAAGTTTGGAGAGGAGAGGTGACCCCTTTCTCCAGCTTAAGGTTTGAAATATCAACTCAGTGATCTCTTAAAAGTAAAGCTTTCCTCGTAAGTGACTCGCCTTTACCGGATCATTGTAAAGCCATTTGCTTTTTATTTACACCTCTGTGTAATTGCTTTGATACCGACAGTAGAAAAATTGACTTAGCCCGAGTGACTCCACTTCAGGCGAATTGGGCTCGGGGAAAAACAACTATAGACCTTTTCCAGGCCTTGTAATATGTAGATTCCGCTTTTTTTCATTTTTATTTCCAAAATCCCAATCAGCTTTCTTTAGTTTGATTTTTATGTTTAGAGAAGGTATCAACTTGGAATGAAAACTTTTTTATTTTTGTTTACTTTCTCTTACCTAAAGAAAGCTCATGGTTGATTTTAGATTTCCCAGATGCATCTTTCGGTACAACTGAAATTCAAAGAAATAACGAATATTGAAAGAATAACCTAGAAACTTTTACAAATGGTAAAGTGTAGTAGTTGTCGAGTCAAGTCCCACACCACAGAGAAAATGCACCACACAGACTTTCTATAAAACTGGACGAAATATTACCAAAACATGATTTTGAAGGTAAATATTTTTAAAAGGCACCCATCCAGAACATTATCTTTGAAATAAGTACATATTTCAGTTCATTTCCAACTCCAATTTTCAGCTGTATAAAGTAACAATAGACCCATATTATGGTCAGTCAGACTACTTTTTAAAAGCTTGCCAATTTCTCTACGTCAGAGTCACATGGCTTCCATCATCAAGACCAGTATATTTAGAAGTCAGGCTATTCCAAAGCACAGAGCCTCCATATGCAACAGACTTCTTCATAAAACGTGTGTTAAAACGTGGCACCGTTAATGAATCGCGTGGAGGAGGCTTCAAAACTTACTCTTCAGAAATCAGAATCAGAAATTCCTTTACTTATGGCATACTGTCAATTCAATTCCTAAACTGTGACTTACTTAGGATTCAGTTTAATACCAGTGAGTTTTACATGGCTCGTGTGATCAAAAAGGTCTGAAAAGTTTATGAACTGTTACTTTGCAAAACCATCGATTAAACTTGGATTTTTTACGGACTCCGTCCCTGATTATGGCTCCTGGTTCATCATATTCCTGGGTACGCAGCCTTTGTCCGGGTGCCTCGCGTGATGGAGTTTGGTCCATATTTTGTTTACAGCTCCAAAGTTTTCTATACATTTTTTTAAGAAGATACGTTCACTTATGTACTAGTTGGCCTCACCTGATGAAGTTTTTTCTTCGTTGTCCAGTTTTTCTTCAGCTGTCGTGACTTTGGTTTTTTCCTCGACTGAAGGTATCAAGAGAGAAGACTTATTAGAAGATTTCCAGCATTATTTGGAGATAAAGACATTTTGTTTTCAAATATAAGATGCAAAAAAAAAAAATTATTCGCCTTTTTCTTTTTAGTTTTGAAATTAAAATGAAAAGAAATCTATTATTTGTACCTGTTGACTTGCTGTCATCCGAATCCGGTTTTTCTTTACCAAATGAATCTTGCCCCTCCTCCGCGTCTAAAAGTAACATGGGAAAGGCTTTTTTATTTATTGCTTGACCTTTGGCTCCTTTAGAGAAATCTTAATGTCAACAATTTTAATAGCCAAATCATAGAGAGTGATAGCCTACTGGAGTCAAGTTGGTGTATTTTATCTGGCCTGGATATGTGCAGGCCCTCTCTAGATATCATTCGGTCAATTTTAGCTTAGTTTAAGCTTCACTTTCAACACTTTGAGATCTACGAAGTCAATTTGGAGCTTCGCTTTACAGCTGGGCTAAATGCTACCGAAGTTCAATCCTTAACAGTCTCCATCCTCGATAACTGGTTCCTCCTTTATAGTCGAGGGTTCCTTTGCTTCCACTCTTTATGCATTCAACCTCTTTTGGCTCTTTCCAATTACGAATTCAGCAACTAACACATTGCTTAGCTCAGTTTTCCTTCCTACCTGATGCAATGTTTTTCTCAATGTCCAGCTGTTCTTTGGCTGATGCGGCTTCATCCTTCCCAGTGGCTGATCAAGAAAATATCATGAAATAAATGTCGTGTTTATTAGGGGTTCACAACTTAATGTTAACTACCGTCTGACTTTTGGTGTTCTTCAAATTCTTACAAGACCTTGATTGGTGAAATTGCATTTAGGATCTATGCAAAGGGCTAAAACTGTTTTCTGTGGTTGATTATAAAAAACAAACATACAATAAAAATCAAGGCAAAAGTCAATGTTGGTAAGTTGAAGTTGTAACCAATTTATACCTCTGTAATGTTGATATCTTGACATAATTTTCTTTCTATCTTTTTCCTGACAACTGTCACGCGTATTAATATTAATTCCATTTTTTAAATGGCAGTAATTTACATGAAAATTATGACTTTAATTGTGTTCTTCTGTTGGTTTTCTCACCAAAACAAAGTTCGTTAAAATCCGGTTTTTCCTTGGTCGGTGAAACTTGACTTTCGGCCTTGACTAAATAAAGAAGAATGAAAATGTTCAGTGTTGTGTTACATTTGTTCTCTCAGTAAACTGACAATGAATAAATGAGATCGAAAGCTAAAGGTAACGCATTCAACTTAAAAGGGCTCCTAAGCTTCGTGAAGAACTGTACGAGCCTAGTTACACGTTATATGTTATAATTGCATTTCTTATATCGGCGTTAAAACAACTTTATGTCACTTCGTACAGGGCAACAGTTCTGTTTTTGACCTACCTAGTTAGCCTGATATAATATTTTCGTGATTTATATCATTAAAAATGATACTTTTTATAGTCAGTCTGCATAAATACTAACAGGCACTTTTTAAACACCAGCAATTCTAATACAAGCTGGTCCGAAAAAGTACTTGAGTATTTGAGTCATTGTCCCAGGAAACAAGATATGTTGGTACACCACTCAAAAATTAAAGCGCGTAAGTCATTCATTCGTCTTTAGCTCGTAATCCACAAACTTTCCTCGCTATCATCCGCGCTGAGTTTTAACAATGATAAACCAATAGCTAGTGGGTTCAATTTCTCTACGTCAGAGTTAAATAGATACGTACCTGTTGAATTAACATCATCTGAATCCTTTCTTTCCTCAATCAAAGAAACTTGACTTTTGTTATTGTCTAAAAAATGGTACAAAAGGACATTAATTTCAACTCGTAGATACAATCAGCGTGTTAAAACATGCAATGGTAGAGTAGAAATACGCATTTTTGCAGTCACTCAATTGGGCGTCAGCATTGATGCATCAACGGCTGCTTCTTGACCTTTCTAAATGATGCTATAATGCAACCTTGATTGTTAAAGAGACTTTGGTCGATCTCCCAACCTTATACCAGGAGCTCAAGATTCCAATTGGCTGCTTAGTGAACCAGTAAAATGTTTAGCCCTTTACTTTTGGTCAGCGTGGCGGTATTCATAGCGCAAAGAATGCTGGTTTTCAAATAAAAGTTTGGATAATGCACACAAACACCTCGGTATTACAATTCGACAGAAATCTTGCAACCTATCTTCGAGGCAAATCATCAGCTATCGTACGCGTAGTTATCAATGGTTTGTGTACCTGCTGTTTCGCCATCATCTAAATCTTTTCTTTCCTCAACTGTTGAAACATGACTCTTTTCCAT